GCAATCGGGCTTGCACGGCGTCTGCTTCAACCAGGGCTGGGCAGGGGGGTAGGTCTCTCTGCCTAGCCTGGGTGCCTGCAACCGTTGTCTGGTCAGGTCACCCTGCCAATATGGCAATGGGTGATGGTCCCGGGTGGTTAACACTAGGGTAGGACAGGGGGGATGGGGGTGGGCCAGGGCAAAAATGATAAGAGGAAGGGTGGGTGGGGTCTTCAGAGGGATTCAGCTGGACAACCAAGTGACCGAGTGCTGTGTGTAACTATCATTGGTCTAGTATCTCACCTCTACAACAACCTGGGCTTAAAAAATAATAATAATAATAATAATATTTTTATAAAAAAAAAAAGGATTCCTCGAGGAAATGTTTTCACATATTTTTCCAAATTTCTTCCCCGAGGATAGGTAGAACGATCACGTCCTCGTGGATTTTACGTGCCCGAGGGGCATGGTCCCACTAGCAACTGGATAGGATAGAAAAGAGTTTGTATGGCAGTTGAGTGACCCAAATCCTGCCGTGCAGTCCTGGTGATCCCACGGTCAGTATTTTACATGTATTACCCAAAATAGTGAGGAGATCTTGGTTCCCCTCCTCCTCTCCTTAAGACTGGGCATGTCCCTGCAAAGACAGCTTCCCGCCAGAATCTTTTCAATGGGCTGGGGGTGTGGCCAACCCCAAACGAGGTTGGTGTGCAATTATCTCATTGGGTGGAGCCCTCCTTCAATCACGGAGTATATGGAGGGCGTCAGGATCACTGCTGACAGAAGTCGATTTTATTCCAAAAAAATGTGCCGGTTACTTTGTTCACTGCTTTTGCAACCACCACCATCAGATCATTTATCTGATGGCTGGGAAGCAGTCTGCCGTGATTTCAGGTGGGAGGTCTTTGTTTCTTTTTTTTTTTTTTGCCTTTCTCCAGTTTTCTCACCCCAGAAATTCGTAATGAACCTGTCAGGCCGCTGCCACTCAGTGTCACACTGGATAGGCCACTTTCCTATCCGACTCCGAATGGGACCGACATAGGTTGAATAAAAAGGGAAAACCATTTCTTGACAAAAAAAATGAAGACAGAAATGCTAAAAAAGAGAAGGAAATGATCTTCCCACGAATCATATCTCATCCAGGCAGAGTGTCAGATGTGAGGGCATGATTCTCTGACCATGGCTGTGGCAGTCAAGATGACTGCATGTGAGCATCAAAGCGGACGATATTCATTTACAGTAGTCTGAGCTTTCCTTGAAATGGGCCATAGTGCACTCTGGTCCTTCGGTCTGACAGATGTGAGAGTAATGTATGCAATATTTGCTGTAGGTGAGGGGAAAGGATCCTCCCAGAGAGTGCCGTACCCCCGCTCACCATTCACGGGTCTGTGAAAGGAAACAGGTCATGGAGTTCATGGAGTTCACAGAGAGCAGGATCGTTTTTTTTTTTTTTTTTTGGCTGAGGGGTGTGTGTGTTTTTTTATAGGAGAGTGGGGGTCATCGGAGGGTAACCACCCATAATTTTTTTTAATTTTTTTTTACAAATATTTTTTTTTAATTAAAAACGAAAAAAAAAATGCAACCAGCCAAAATAAGCATTTTTGCGGCT